TCGACTGTTTTTAGTTTGATAGATTAGAATTAAGAAATTACTTTAATAAAACACTCTTAAGGTCTATGTTGTGTTTTCTGTGGAAGCTTAATGGAATTCAGAGGAAATTATAAATATTTTTCATAAATTTCTTAAACATGTACACAAACACACACAAAACAACGACTGAGTGATTAAGGTTTCTATAGAGTAACGTTTACCTCTAAATGTGTAACATTAAAGTAATTTGTTTTGAAGAAAGGCATTCAGATGTTTTATTCCCTTTCCTTTAAATAAAGCACTCTCAATCCTTTCAAAATGTTCTCTCAAATCTTTAATAATAAAATACAATATCAAACAAACAAGGGAAAAAATAATGGTTATATAACGTTATAAATACACATATATGTATATGTTTATGTATATCCACTGTATTCATTGCAACTGACATTAATAATGTTGTAATTTTTAACCTAATATTATGACTATTATTTCACGTATACGTTATGATTATCAATCGTTTCATCTGCCTAAGTAGTTATTAACCTGGGCTTCTCATACTGGGATGCGTAATCGTTTTCAACTGGTCATTTATTTTTGCTGTAAATTTCAGTCCACTCAAGAGTTAGCGCAAAAAGATAATGTATACGAAGCCAAATTGTACTTCCTACAAAGGAAGACAAAGCAAAGCTAGCTATTTAGAATGGGTGTAGATCAGATATAAGCAGGTATAAGAGGCATTTATACATTCGTTTTACTAATTATTAAAACACTGCTCCCCTAATATTAGGGTTTCTTTTGAGCTAGTGACAGACAAATGGTTATTTACTCTGTGTTCTTGTTGTACCCCAAGTTTGACTGCACTGACATTCTCCCAGGGGTATGCATGTAATGCATCTAACATTCACCGATAACAGAGGAGCCAGCCACACGCTGGAGCGTGTGTTTGTCTTAGGAGAGTTTGCCGTGGCCGAGGTAGTGGCCAAAGCTGTTCTCTTCCTGCCGCAGAAGGACCGGTAACACTAATGACCATTATTCCACACCACAGGTGTTCGGCGCAAGAGCTTTCGGCACATCAGTGACTATTGTTAGCTTAGGCACGACCTTTAGAACGTGAATTTACCTAACAAAGTAAGAACTTTCAAGTATAGCTTTACCTTTTCAATGCCCATTATTTAAAGAGAAACTACGGGAACTTTCAGCAGTTTCTTTTATTTATCCTATAGAATTAAGTAACAAAGAGCTGAAATTTCAACGACCTTATTTATAGATTTGTACGGTGAAGTAGTAATCATGTTTAGAAAAATCAAAATTTCAACGACCTTATTTATAGATTTGTACGGTGAAGTAGTAATCATGTTTAGAAAAATCAAAATTTCAACGACCTTATTTGTAGATTTATATGGTGAAGTAGTAATCAAGTTTAGAAAAACCAAAATTTCAACGACCTTATTTATAGATTTGTACGGTGAAGTAGTAATCATGTTTAGAAAAATCTAAATTTCAACGACCTTATTTATAGATTTATATGGTGAAGTAGTAATCAAGTTTAGAAAAAACAAAATTTCAACGACCTTATTTATAGATTTGTATGGTGAAGTTGTAATCAAGTATAGAAAACCCAAAATTTGTTTAGAAATATTTTTTTTACAAAAGCATGTTAATAATGAATGGTTAATCAGAAGAAAAAAAACTTTTTTTATTATTTGAACAGTACAGAAATAAGAAGTAAAATTTGCCGAGGAACTTTGAAACATTATAGAAGCGCACATTAATTTAGCTTGAAAGATACCACATTCAATAAACCACCTATATAATTTAAAGATGATTCCAACTTCCCCTTTTCAACTTAAAGATGATTTCAACTTCCCCTTTTTAATTTAAAGGTGATTTCAACTCCCCCTTTCAAACTTAAAGATGGTTTCAACTTCTCCTTTTAAATGTAAAGATGATTCAACTTCCCCTTTTTAATTTAAAGATGATTTCAGCTTCCCCTTTTTAATTTAAAGATGATTTCAACTCCTCCTTTCAAGCTTAAAGATGATTTCAACTCCTCCTTTCAAACTTAAAGATGATTTCAACTTCCCCTTTTTAATTTAAAGGTGATTTCAACTCCCCCTTTTAAACTGAGGGTCGCGGGTTCGAATCTCCGTCACACCGAACATGCTCGCCCTTTCAGCCGTGGGGCGTTATATAGTGACAGTCAATCCCACTATTCGTTGGTAAAAGAGTAGCCCAAGAGTTGGCGGTGGGTGGTGATGACTAGCTGCCTTCCCTCTAGTCTTACACTGCTAAATTAGGGACGGCTAGCGCAGATAGCCCTCGTGTAGCTTTGCGCGAAATTAAAGAAAAAAAACCTTTTAAACTCTAAAGATGATTTCAACTTCCCTTTTTTAATTTGAAATTGATTCCACGTAGAAACTGAAGAGATTGAAAGCAAACATAGAAATAAGTGAAATAAATTTTTCACTTTTCACTGCTTTTAACTTACTCTAACATAATGTAACATCGCTCATTGTATTAGCCTTCTGTTTCAAGACTTACTCTAGCATAATGTAACATCGCTCATCGTATTAGCCTTCTGTTTCAAGACTTACTCTAGCATAATGTAACATCGCTCATCGTATTAGCCTTCTGTTTCAAGATGTTTTTACATATTGTGTTCATAGACGCACAAACATAAATGACCATCGATCCACCAAGTGAAATTTGAACGTTGTTTCTACTTGGTTCTAAGTCCAAAGATAATATCAAAAGTGTTGAATAACAGTACTTCCATAAAATGCGTTTTGTTACTTTACATATTTATACATGTGATTTTCTGGCATTATGATTGCAGGGTACGATAGTCCTCCAATACAATAAGTGACACTGTTGCAGTTGACAAATCAAGTCATAGTGTCCATTGTATACGCAAATTACATGTTTGAAACTTATTCAAACATGTAATTGATAGTTATTTTATGTGTCGGTTATGGCCTAGAGGTTAGCGTGCCGGCCTATCAACGGTTCGCGTTCTGTTTGCCACAAAAATAAAAATAATATATCACTCTCGCACTTTCAGTTGGAGAGTAGGTTATAAGAGTGACTGTCAAATCCCTTATTCGATTATATTAGCTCAAGAGTTACTGGTAGGTGCTGTTGAGTGGCTGCCGTCCCTCTTGACTATCAGTACAAAATTACTAACAACTAACACATATATAGTCCTTGTGTAGCTTTGTGCGATTTTCCCAAAATAACAAAAACTTATTTCTTTTTTTTTTTTAGTTTATAAAAACGTTCTCATAGACTTCCTTCGCGAAATAAGGCTAAAAACGTGGTTGAACAACAATGCAAATTTAAAAATTTTAAATTGTTGCTTTGTGTACGTGATCTACATTAGCGTTAGAAATATTATGGTCAAGAGATGAAAACACACAACTGACATGTTGGTTGATATTCGAATTCCTGTATAAGCGATGATACTTTGAGTTAACGTATTTAAAGATATATAATTTTTAACATTATTGTTATTAACAACGAACAAACCTTATGTATCATAAATTTATAAAACCCACAACAGTTCTTAGAGTTATACATAGCTTTTAATTTTTCCTTGCAAAGACTTCACTTTAAAGGTGCGATTGGTATTTATCTTTAAAATTAAAAATGTAGGCCAGACCTACAGAAATTATCCATCTTGTAATAGTTTATAACTTTTGTTCTCTATGTTTTAAAAACCTTTAAAATTGTATCTGACTTTACGAACCTACATATTTAAATTATACAGATAAATGATATATAACACTCAAAAATTACACTAGGCATACTGTCAAGAATGATACTTTCGAGACGATCAAATTATGAATTTTTAAGTTTTACCAATATGTTTAGTCTCGACTCTTTTTTTTTTGTTTCGCTCCCTAGTGGCACAGCGATATGTCTACAGATAGCCCATTGTATAGCTTTGTGCTTAACTTCAAACTAAATTTTGTGTTTCTACGTATAACGCAGAGTTTTTTTAATTGGCGTATCCAGAAACGTTTGAAATTATTTGAGCTAAAATTACGAAATCGTTCTAAAGGTTTATTCTTCATTTACGATTTTAATGTTTTTATATTTTATATAGTAGCAAACAAATCTCATGCAGTGTAAATTTATAAAATCCTCAACAGTTTTTAGTCATGTAAAAGCTTTTAATTTTTTCTCGCAAGGAATTCACTTTTCCATAAAAACATTATTGCTTATCCTATTAAAGATGCACTATAAGTTTATATCTAAAATTAAAAACGTTGGTCAGACTTACATAATTTTTTTCATTATTTTTCACTTAAAAACTGACAATTTTGTTTGTTTGTTTGTTCGATGTTATGCACAAAGCTATACGTGGTCTATCTGCCCACTACGGATATCGAAACACGGTTTTTAGTGTTATAAGTCTTCGGACTTACCGCTGAACCACTGGAGGGCTAAAGCTGGCAATTACAGATAAACAAATATATATATATATATATATTAAATGCTGCATTTAACAGTCCAGTTCTTAAGATAAGCTGTTGGTTTTAGATCAATGGAAGGTTAAAATCTGTTGAATGATATTATGTGACGGTAGTTTGGATACATTAGTAACAACTAAATATAAAGAAAAAAAGAAATGTGACTCGTGTTTGTAAGCGAAGGGGGAGACTTCTGAGAAGGTTAAAATCTGTTGAATGATATTATGTGATGGTAGTTAGGGATGTATTAGTAACAACTAAAAAAAATGAAATAAATGTGATTTATGTTTGTAAGCGGAGGGGGGGGGGGTACTTCTGAGAAGGGATAGTCAGTGTATCTTCTAAGACGCTCTAGTACAGGACAGTCAAAAGGGATGGGCCATTTTACAAGTAGCGTCCGTCAGTGGTTGGGCGGTTTTCTATCTCGAGCTCCGTGTGGCTAACGTTCATTCATAACAACCAGCGATCACTGTTGTGATGCAGTGCGTTCCCCATTGTTGTCTCTGTAGTGAATAACCAGTAATTTCTCCTCGTCGTTGCTCGGAAACATCCTAGTACTATATTTTTATATCAACGGACTTGGTTGATTGGCTATCTATGGGATTTGTCTTTATTCCAGATGCTCACCTGAATATGCTTAGCAACAAGTCTAGTTATCTGCTTGTGTTTACCTCGTCAGCTTGTACGGGTTGATATTTGTAAGAGAGATAAAACCGTTTTGTGTAACAAAAGTCGGTGAAAGGAATTAATAATTGTTGCCTTCATAATATTTTTAAGTGAAGTCGGGCAAAACGCCATGATAAACCTTAACTTACTTTCTACAAGTACTAGTCAATTAAAGACGACTTTTTCAATGTGCGCTCTAGCCTACTTATTGCTTGTGGGGTTGATTGTATCCACCAGAAGCGTGGCATCTCTACAAAGTAAGAGTAGAAAAGACATGCTCTTGCAGGATGCCTTGAGGTCTCTCCTGGATGTTGAAACTTCTTTAAGCACTGAGTCCAAGAAGATGACTAACAGTCCTCACTCATATCCTTCTCCTCCTGAATATATGCTGGAACTATATGCTCGATACCAGTCTGGGCAGGATCCCAGTGCCGACAAGCGTGGGGACACAGTGCGAAGTATTGTACCGAAGAAAGGTAACGTACTAATTTAGTATATTTGAGTGAAAACGAAAAACTTCTAATTACAGATAATACATATCCACGACAATAAAAACTTCTAATTACAGATAATACATATCCACGGCAAGAATATATTAAAATTGATGCACATAAGCATATTCCAAACTCAACACTTCAAATATTAAATGTATAAAAACAATCATTTCATTATATTAAATAGACGTAAATTACACGTTCAGTTGGTTTCTTTTATGTTTTTAAGGGCAAAGCTACACAATGGGGTGTCTGCGCTGTACCCACCACGGGTATTGAAACCCGATTTTTAGCATATAAGCCATAAAGCTTACCTCTTAGCCACGAGAGGGGGGGGGAGGGCGTACGTCCAGAGTGCTGATTTTCTTAAATGGATGATAAGTTAACATTTTTTTGATGATTTTCAATACGTGTAAGACAACACTTTATCATTGTCAATCTCACTTTTTCCACACATATATATATATACTCCAAGTGATCTCGCAATGATATCATTTGAATACTTTAACCTTTTTAATGACTGGGAATTTTTGCTGTCCGTTCATCTAGCTGCTAATCGGTATATCTATCGTAATCTCGATATCTAAAGAAGGAATAAATCTTGCAGATAATCTAAAAAAATTAGTTTGATGGATTACACCGGTAAGAAGTTATTTTCGAAAGTCAGGATAGCCCAAATATCATTATAATTCGTTACTTTCTTTGTTAGTTTCTATAGAAATAGAAAATCAAATATTTTATAAAGACAGCTGTCTTCGAAACAAAAAAAAACAAAAACAACAACAACAGACAATTATCCAAGAATAAACATGTTTAGAGTTTGTGATGTAAACAAATACCTCAAAACAATGATACGAAAAGAAAATTACATTACTTAATTACCCATGCTTAAGTTTCAAAATATCTAAATCCAAATATTTACAAACATTGTCGTCAGATGTTACATGAGGTCATCGTGTGTCTGGTGGGGCAAAGCGGCTAATGATTTGTTTAAAAACATTCGGAAAACTAAGCTTATCGTTAACAAATCATGCAATTTCAAGAGTTTGATAAGTAGGAGGAAGAAAAAAAAAGAGGTCAGAATACAAGCTGTTAGAAAACCTTGAAAATAAATGTTGTACGCATATAGTGGTAAATACATTGACACTTCGTATGCTGCTTCTTAAAGATAGGAACTATATGTAAGATATTATTGAGAACCCATGATATAATACTACGGCTTTATACATTTTACAAGTATAAGCTGAGAAATGTTCGGCGCACTACTTCTGATAGACAGATAGGCAGACAAAGATGAACTTTTCATTCGTTTCGCAGGAATTAAGGAAGCCAAGCCTCACGTTTGTAAAATAATATAACGTACAGAATAATATAAGAACGACGGAAGGATTGCTTTTATACCTAAATGAGCGTTGTCGGTTTTGGTGTACATGTACATACAACAAGAAAGGTTTGTTTTGTCTTTTGGCATATGTGAACGTGTATATCGCTTCACGCTAATCTATATGAACTTTACGACTCGATACCTTTCTCAGAATAACCTAAACATTTTTTTTTATTCTCAAAATGGCTTTATAACCCGCTATTTTGACATTATACTAAGCAATCTGATTGTATTTGCGATTGTTATATAAACGGTTAATTACTTGGAAAGGTGAATTGAAGTTTTGGGGGAGGTCAGGTCTAAGATAACGAAAACATGTGTTCAGATTCTAGTGAAAGATAACACACACGAGTACATCCTTTCAATAAAAAGAAAGGATATTTATGTTAAGTCACAATTATCTGAGTCTGTACATGTTTCGTTACAGTTACAACCACTGAATGTTCAACAGACTCTCCATCAGTAGGCGGGTAGGGTAATTCATATCCCACATAGTCTAGTTAACTCTTATGTGCAGCTATAATTGCATCTGTGTATTCAACAAAGCACTTTCTAGACAGAAGATACTATTAAATTGGTTGAATGAAGATTCTGCTGTATATGTTTTGAAAGGTTATAGGTCATGGTCAGTAATTTGTAATAGCTGATGTTGGTAACACGTTTCAGTCCAATAAAGAAGACTCAAGTTAGCTTGAACTTGAAAAACGTAATCAGAGATCAAAGAACTCTATATAGAGTATAATGTAGACCTTAGCTGAGCTTTAACGACTTTATCACTGTTAAGAGCTCTGTAGAAAATAGAACATAACTTTTATTGCAACATAAAGACCTTTATCAAAGTTCAAAACCCCGTACAGAACATATAGTTGTTCTTAATCGATTTAAGAATTAGTGATGGAATTCAGAAATCCGTGCAAAACTTAATGTTGACCTTATTTGAGTAATTATTTATCTGTCTTTCTACTACGACAGTGTATTTGTATATCTGTGTGTGTGAACAAGCGCGTGTATATATATATATATATACACAATTCGCAGATAATTTCCTATAGACCTTGTTTTTCATTCCACTAATTATCTGTATGATTGAAATCAGGTTAGAATATTTCAGATATATTGTTTTCGTAACGCCTTTCTTGCATAGTGAAACTGTAATATCGGAAATACCAATATCTCTATTTTAAGTTCATGATTTTTTAAAATATCACCTTAAAGGGAGCAGTGTTATCCGTCTGAATGTCAAGAACACGTTTAATAAGTTTTTCCTAAAGTTAAAATTTAAACATTAAATGTTTGGTAATTAAAACGACAAGACGATCAGACAAAACATTTGTGTTATTATGTAATAATTAAATAGCTGAAGATATTGATTTACGATGTGTTTACATACCTATTTTTTGTACTGTTCATGAGAGTAACGAGGAGATGACGGGTAATTTTTTCTTAGGAATGATATTCTACCTTTAACTGATTAAACGCTACTGTGAAAATGATAAAACTCAAACGAAATTTAAATCAAAAATTAGTTTATAGTGAACCTAATTGTAATAAACTATAATTTAACTATGGCGATACTAATAAGATGAAACTTTGCTTTGAATTACATCGATATATATTCAATACAACATAATATACTTTGTTACCCTTTCTGTGAGAATATAAAAAACAAAATCCACATGCGCATTCATAGTGATGAGGGTATATGAAATGAAACTCACGTTTCTTCTTTCCTAACAACTGTGTCGAGTATTTTTTCAGCAATAACTAGAGACACACAATTCCTTATCATGCCTTACCTGTCTTCTAAAAATCTTGGATGTCATGATTTTTACACATATAAAATAGATTGACTTCACACATCCCAAAACCAGTAAACTCCACTACGCCACTATGAATGAGTCTAGATTTTTCTCATTTCTTAAAACAAATATTGTTTTGATTCTCTAAGTATATATTTCACTATAATAATGCTTTTTATTAGTGCTGTTTAGTCATCTAGTTCGAGCCACGTATTGGAACTACTACAAATCGATATGCCATACTAATAAAACATTTACCATGTTTAATATCGTGATCAACTATGCAGAGGAAATGCTTTATTAGACACAAACGAAAACAAAACGTTTCTACTGTGAAACTAATCACGATATTATATAAGATTATCCAGTGGGATTCTCATCTCTCAGTACTCCTTATCTGTTTTGCTCGACCGAGTGAAAAGATAACATAAGCAACCAAAAGGTCAAAAGTTCCCAATATTATCTTGAAGAGACAGCTATAGAGATAAAAAAATAAGTATCTTAGTTTTATAAGTCAAATTAATAGCTGTTAGACAGATGAACAAGCTTAGACAGAGTGTAAAAGACACGAATATAAACAGAAAATATACTGTAAACTATAAATCCTTGGTTGGATGTATTGGTTTTGTCGTATAAGCTGAGCTTCATATTACAACATATAAAAAAATCATGATGTTTTTATCAGCTTCCAACACGTTTAAAGTTAAGTGTTCAAGCAAATAAACAAACATGGCACGAGGCTTTGTGATTCATTATGTAAGAAATATTTCGATGCGTAATATGTTTAAAATGTTGACTAATTTTAATAACATGTGTAAAATCCAGTAAACAAAGTAATGGGTTGCTAATTATGGTCATGTTAATTTTGTCGACATCTGAAGACAACTTTCATGATTTCATGAAAAGTATTTCCATTTTCAAATAACAAACGATCTGTTTCACCAAATTCAACAATAAATGGTTTCATATGATCCACATCTGTGCTATCAACAACCCAAAAGGGGCAAACATTGAGAAGTGTTCTTGGTCAGTAGAATGAAATAATATACTTATTTATGTTGCCGAATTTTTGTTTGTTTTTTTCTTCTCAATGTTCTCAAGTTAAAAACTCTGTTTTACCCTATTATAGGGGCAAACATTGAGAAGTGTTCTTGGTCAGTAGAATGACATAATATACTTATTTATGTTGCCGAATTTTTATTTGTTTTTTTCTTCTCAATGTTCTCAAGTTAAAAACTCTGTTTTACCCTATTATTGGGGCAAACATTGAGAAGTGTTCTTGGTCAGTAGAATAAAATAATATACTTATTTATGTTGCCGAATTTTTGTTTGTTTTTTCTTCTCAATGTTCTCAAGTTAAAAACTCTGTGTTACCCTATTATTATGTAATACTAATGAACTCCTCGTTATCATTATTATTATTATTTGCATCAACTTATGTTATGCATTTGTAGTTTAAAAAAACTGAGCGGAACACAGAAAGAGAAATAATTGTTGGTCATTCTTTGCATTCTTTCTTGAGATCGTACTTTTACTTTGTCTAATGAACAAGTGCTTTTACGCCGTGTCTCAGTTCGTTTTATGTCGATAATGAAAATAGCAATTCCACATTATCAAATCTTTTTTTGTTTTGTTTTTATCAAACATTTGCGTTTTAAAGACTACTGACATTCAAGGGCGTAATGGCGATGTTTCGCTAAAGATACGCAGTTATCACTTGATAGTAAAATTCTTGTCTTTGTAACACGTATCACAAAGCTAAACAAAGCTAAGCCGATTTTATACTAGCAACAAAAAAA